GAGTTCTTATTATGAGCCGATATCCTTAACACCACAACGCACATCCCTAACACATATTTGTCATCTTTAAAACTTCCATGTCCTGTGCTAAATCACGAAATTGCTGAATGGCTACATAAATCCTCAAACCGTTTACCTAGAATGATTGAATTATATTGACTGTCCTCTTAATCTCGTTATTCAACCTGTATACTAAGTGTGTTGATCCAAAGTCTATGAATGCTATTTTCTATTTGTCATTGATGGTATAATTATTTTCCTAATATTTACTAGCTGTTTGCAGAGCTATTAACTTGTGCTGTCTAACTCCGATATTAATATCATATCGTTATTTGATTTGGAGGTGTTACTTTGTTTGTTATCTCCAAGGAAAGAATATGTACTGTGACTTGTTATCTAGAAAGAAAAAAAATATCTACATCATACACATTTTATTTTGGAATGTTATCTTTATAGTAAAATATATTATAACATATATATATAACCTAGCGAAAATGTAATTACTTTATTTTCTTTTATTTTTACTATAGTGATAAACAGATGTACATCGGCTAAAATATTTACACCTTTCAAATTTTAATTTGGAATGATATCTACATAATAAAACATGAGACTACTATAGTTTGTTATTTAGAAGGAAAAGATAACAAGACAAAATAGAATCTGTTTTGAAATTCTTGTCGTCAATATACATATGTTATAATATTCAAAGTCCGTGAGAGTGATTTTTGCTTTTATTCACAAGTCCTCTAACCTTAGACATCCTGATGGTAAAATATGTATATACAATTTGATGTATTTACAATGTTCTAAATAAGAAGTTGCCAAATCTTACCAGAGTTTAATCTTACTTATTATAAAATGCAGATTGTGTGTGTGTGTGTGTGTATATTGGATCAGATTTCCTACATTTTTCAACCGATTTCAACAAAACTTCATAGGACTGCATAAAATTACCTTGTGGTGGTTCTGACGGTGCTAAAAATTGGAAAATCAATTGTTTTTGCATGAAATCAATTTGAAAACATGATAAAACACGATTCTGTCGCCAGAATGAAAGGGGGACAACTCATATCGAGTTATACTTATTATAAAACCCAGGTTGTTTGTGTGTGTGTGTGTGTGTGTGTGTGTGTGTGTGTGTGTGTTCGTTTATATATGGGATCGGATTTCCTACATTTTTCAACCGATTTCAACAAAACTTCACTTTTTTTGGCAGGTAGTGTTTCTTATTGTCTTGCACACTTTTTTTCTTTATTTTTACATTCAGAATGCTTTAAAAATTGCATTTACAAGACAATTGTTTATAATAAAATTCTATTCAATCGATATACTCATAACGATTGAAAACAATGTTTTTGTTTGGGTTTGACCAATTCATAAAAAAACAAAAAAAACTAGTTAAGACCATGCATGTCCGTCAACCTTAAACAATAATCTTTGTCGATTTTATTTTTCAGTCTTTATGATGGTCGATACTTGATCTATCTCTTACTGTTACATCCCTGGGCAACGCCGGGCTCTACTGCTAGTAATATATATCAGTGAAGAAATCAATGAGTATTTTTAGTGGGAAAACTATGGAACTAAAGCAGAAAAATTAGAATGTCATATAGGGAAATTAAATAAAATACACATGATAAAAATAAATTACGGAAATTCAAACATAACAGAGAATACTTATAATTTTGAAAAAATATATATATTTAATTATCCATATTATTTAGGTGTTAAGCGAATTATAGAATTTACATAATGTATTCGCGTATCGTGCGACCTCCAAATTTTCACGTATAAAGAATGATTTTATCATGTATATCGCGTAACTTGCGAGCGCCTTTTTTGAGATACAATAGACTAACCTCTTTTCCTCTATATCTTTATCCAATGCTTTAATTAAATAAGTTAAAAAATAAAAGAGAAAGATAAAAGTACCATTAATTATGCTATACTCGTTGGGTAAAAGCATACAGCTTTAAACAACCGGACGAGTTACAGCTCAATATCTTATTAACGTACACAATGGAAATGGTGCATATTCCCTGTTTGTATTTTATAATACGTTACTAATATCGGAATACTGTATTCATTATAATTGAATACATTTTAGTAAAATATCAGATTTATCAAAATCAGGTTCATCTTAAATACATCTTAAATACATCTGTATTTTTTTCTAGAATTATTCGATATAAAGTTTAGTCAACGGCGAAGTCATAGCCAGCAGAAATACTCTAATTTTATATCTCGTGTATCTGTTGAGTTCCTCAAAAAGTAGTTATAAAATTAGGCTTTCCAGAGTTCCATGATACACGAGTATATAAGGTAATTAATAATTAGCTAAATTTTTATTAATAAGTATTTATTTAATATTATTTTCTTTATTTATTATCTTAAGTAGAAAAGTCTGTAGGATAAAGAAAAAAACATTTTTGATTTCTTTTTTTGAAAATCTCCAAGCAAGACGGGAAGCCACTAACACGCAAGTGTTTACAGAGTTGGAGCGAGAACAAAGAGGAGGGATAGAGAAAAAGGATGAAGCGGAGGTTAGGGGATAGATCAGGGCATCTGGAGACTGTGATGTCGTCCCCTGGTCGCAGCGCCAACTGTGACGTTCTATTCTGGTCTACCACGGCACCAACTGTGACGTCCCTAAAGAGCACCAATTGTGACGTCCTCGCCGCGGCGCCAGCTGTTCGCTCCTCGCTGTTCCGTTAGGGTGTCGCTGCTCCAAACGTGACGTCCGCCTGTCGCGTCAGTCGTGTTGTCTCGTCTTGTGACGACCAACTGGCTTGGTATCGGTCGCGGCACCCAAATGTGGCGTTCTAACCTTTTGGTGATTCGGGGGGGAATCTGGTTAGATTTGATATCAGCCTCGTCGTTCCCAACTCGCTTCCAACGCCTGGTTACCAAGGTAACTGCATTGATCCCCAGTCTGCCTACCCACGTTGTGAATTGATCTTAGGCAGACGAGATAAAACAGTGGTTGGGGCCGTAATGCAAACCGAGTTCAACGGGGGTGATACCACACAAATACGCATAAAAGAAAAGAAAATTAAAACTCAAAAGTTCAAAGTATCAAAGAAAAAGGTAACAAACTTTATGTCTAGTTGTTCGATACATAGGACTGCATCTATCTCCCGACCCGTTCTATGGATTGTGACACATCGTTTTCCGTTAGGCAAGTTTTAACGCTTCAAGTTGTTTGCTCTCTAAGAAATTGGTGTTTCGGTGTGTATTTGGACGAAAGTCGAAAAAAAAACTTATTGTGGTGGTCTGGATCTAAGTCGCTCTTCAAAATAATTGTTATTGGGTTGAAGAGGAGTCCGGAATTTGCGCGAATCTTGGTCAGCTATCTGCGAGGCGGCTTCAACTGGAGACTCAACTCAAACTTTTCTGGAACTGATTTCTGCTCGTTGTGGCTTCGCTTATATGGACATCGACCAAAACCGGGGTGGGTCTGTCTGCGTCGTTGTTTCCTCGATAATTCTAAATACATATCCACCTCTCTGGTTAGGAATTTCCACTTTTCCCATTTTTGGGAACCTTTCCTCCTCCCACCTTCTCACCATACTTCAGGGCGTGAACTGCCTCCCCACTTCTTCGTAGCAGCTTCTCATACCTACACTCTGGATAGGCGGCGACAGCCTCCTTCGTGCGTCACGTGATCACCACTTGACCAATGATGTCTCAGTCGGGCGTGGACGAATCCACGGCTTTGTTTCGGAAAAAAAATATCTTGCTTAACTAAAAAACATTATCTTTCCTCCTCCTTCGTGCATCACGTGATCACCACTTGACCAATGATGTCTTAGTCGGGCGTGGACGAATCCGCGGCTTTGTTTCGGAAGAAAAAAAATATCTTGCTTAACTAAAAAAAAATATCACTTCTTTTCCTTTTCTTCCTCTTAATCGCCGTTATCATTTCTCTAGCCGCAAACGGGTCAATATGAACAAATGCGGTCATAACTCTTGTTCTACACGTGGTTTTTGTCAGGTATTTTATCGCTAATTATCCGAATGGGTGGACTTCTTAACACGGCCAACGTCGCCCCGAAAAGAAACATTTCTAAGTCCCCATTCATTCTTTGGCGAACATTTATTGATAACATAATTTTATTATCGCAGGCATAAAGATGTTCCGTCGAAAGAATTCGGTCAGTGGACAGTTGTGTGTGTGACTTTGATACAATTAATTTTTCCTATCTAACCAAAGTCCTTTTAGTTGCCTGTTTTTCGTCACTTATCGAAATAACATTTTCATTTGAATTTTTCTTTGGCCAGTCGGTCTGTAGTTGATAATAAGATGCCTTCCCGTACCAATAGTTTGTTTTCATATCCTTAGACAACACTGCCGTCGCCAAAACATATCTGATTCTTTCTTTCTTTCCCTTTCTTTTTACTCAGAATTTCCCTGTCATTGTAATGACACTCTTTCGCCATTTGTTACTTATGAAAATATCCCTTATCCATTGCCTCTTATCCGTGTGTGTGTTCTGCTTATCATCCACGATTCGGTCCTTAGCCTCTCCTTTTCTTCTTTTCTTTATTTTCTTTTTTCTGCCTCGTTAAATGGTGCCAGAAGATGTCGATTAACGTTACATTTGAATAGTTGGAGTTTATAGTTATCAGAAAAACAAGAAATGGAGAGACAGAAGGGGCACCGGACCATATATGGCAGCAAAACTCCATGCAAAGGCCGATGGTTGATTTGTAGATTTGAAATTGATTCATATTTCATTTTCTGTAACCTGCTTATCGACAATTTAAAGGTTATTTAAAGCCAGATAACGTTTTTAGATGTAAGATTTTATTTCTTTGGAGATAATAATGATTTAGTGATGCAAGTTTTACTAATTAACCCATAGCTGGGAGGAGAAGAAGAGGATTCTTATCTTTCCCAAGGATAGTTACGTGTAAGTGAATATAACGAACATTACTGAAATTAGAACTCGGCTTTCCGATTAACAATTAACCATTACACTTTCCTCACATACAAGCTTGCATCAGCTGGTATTTCCAAGCGGTCACTCATCTTGATACCGACCAGGCTCAATGTTGCTTACCTTCGGTGATCGTTCGGGGAACTGGAGTTTCAATGCTATATGGCCGTGTCATTCTTTGATTAACCAAATTAAATCGAGATATATTAACTATTTCAAGAATTCTCATCGATGATTTATTAGGAATAAATTGATACATTTTAGCACTTTAAAAATCGGAGATCCCCTCAAGGTAGAGCGTTACTGTAGGACTGTTATGTAAGAGCACACGTAAAATCAGGGGATCTTCTCAACTGCAACAGCTTTGTAGATAACACATATTCATGCAGTTAAGTGTCATACGTGATACACGGGGGGCGATCATGTATCCATCGATAGATAACTGACGATGCAGATTTTTTTTTTCCCGGAGTGGGTTGACATTGCTTTCTGCGGTAGTCTGGTTGCCATCAAGGCGAAAGCACAGTCGGTTCTGCTATTCAACCCATAGCTGCGAGAGAAGAGATGGATATATACCTTTCCCAAGAGTATTTGTGTGGAAGTAAATAAAACTATCTCGATTGGAATTCAAACGCGGCTACCGACGCTCACTGAGGAGTGTTAGTGGGAGATGCTAATAATAGAAGGAATAAGATATGGGGTAGATTAATGCCTGTGACAACCACCCGAGAAAAGGGGGAAACTTTCAAATTGGGAAGTAATAAATTTTTCCGAACCCAGACAGCAAATAGGATTTTTTTTTTTTGTAGAAATTAAGGGAAATACTGAATTCCCCAACAGCGTCCTTCCCCCATGCCGGTTTTAGGCGAACGTCACATAAATAAGTATAAGAGTTAAGAGGAGCAGGTCATGATGAGATGTGGGAAAGATAACGGTTAACAGGAAATTTGATGAAGTTAGGATTTTAGTGGTCAAGAAAGCATCCTCTTGGGAGTCTGTTCAACAAAGCAGCGGTTCTTGAGAAGAAGCTGATCGAAAAGAAAATATTGAATTATATATATCCCCGATTTCTATATTTATTTTGTAATAATGTATGTTGAAATGTATTTTGCTAATGCTACGTACCCATGTGATGTGAAGGATTATTATTTGAAAAAAACCCAGCAATGCTGAATCTAGAAAAAGGCAAGTCTTATTTGGAGGATGATGCCATTCCCAAAACAAAATTCTACTATACCTACGGCCAGTTGCACACAGAGTCACATGCATACGCACGCATAGACATAGTGAATATTTTATCCCAATATCTTTTTTAGTGTATTTGATAGAAATACAAAGAAATATGTCTTTAGGGATGTTTTTAATTTATTTTGACTTATCTTTACACAAGTGATTTTCATAAGTTTGTTCAAGTTATATTTACTAATATTATTTCAACAAATGTAATGAGATGAACAATTCTTCCTATTGAAACTAACTTTACTCCCTGAAGAGAAAATGGCTGAAATTACTTGAAAGAAATGTATCGGAGAAAGTACGTCGGTAAGTACTGAACAAAAAAATAAAGATTCTGTTTAAAGAAAATAATTAAATATAATCGATTGTCAAAAGTTATATGCCTGTAGTTGTTAAACAAATATATAAATGGACATATACGTATATATATATATATATATATATATATATATATATATATATATATATATATATATGTGTGTGTGTGTGTGTGTGTGTGTGTGTGTGTGTGTGTGTGTGTGTAACAAAATATGGCTTTTCTTTTAAAAAGACTACCAATGCCTACGACATTGGAGTAATCAGAATAGCGTTTTGAGTTATGCTGCGTGACACAACCACGCAAATAACATACACGGTTACATTATGGAAATGGCCCATCGAAGAATTAGGGTCAGATCTCGGTCCTAAAAATGAATTAAAATCATGTACTCTTCAAGTTGTCTGTTTCTTAAGAATAATTAACACACACACACACACACACACACACACACACACACACACACACACACACACATATATATATATATATATATATATATATATATATATATCTATATTCTTACTCTGTCCTGGAAATTGAGATCTACCTGGATTCTATCTATTGGGAATATATATATATATATATATATATATATATATATATATATATATATATATTTCGACTACTAATATTATCAATTTCTCTCTGTATATATAACGTTTAACTGTTTTATATATATATATATATATATATATATATTTCTGAAAATATATAGAAAATAGGAAAGAACTGGTTGGTAGATCCAAAGTTCCTTAGTATTTTAGTTGTTATTTTAAAAAATAGTGCTCGATACAAATGTAGAGCATAAATATAATTATTTATTTAAAAATATGATTCCACCTCGCGACATAAGAGGTCTCATATTTGAAACATGAGACCTGTTATGTCATATTTATTTTTAAAAAAATATATTTATATATATATATATATATATATATATATATATATATATATACAGTGCAAAAGTTTGATGCTCCCCTAGTAATATTTTAAAAGTATTTGTTTTTTTATTACTTTAAAGAGGTGAAATTTAGTATGTCTTTTAAAAAGTGACCCACGATTATTTATTAGAAAGTTTATTATGACACAATGTATGAAGCATTTTTGGATTAAATTTTGCTATCGTCAAAATTTTCGTCTTTTGCCATGATTACTGCAGCCATTCGTTGCAAACATTATGAAATTACCGGGATAAATTCTAAATTACGCCAAATTGAAAATAACACTGGCTTCTCATTTTAACCGTTATAACACCGTCGGAGTAACGATTAGACTAATCAAAGTCTTTCCGAATTTTCTGCATTGTTCTCGGAGTTACACCCAAACTCTCTCAAATGTTCGTATTAGAACTTACGGCGGAATGACAAGTAATACATTATGCCGTTTGCAATTTTTTTTTGAATTGCGATATGATGGTCTTTTTCACAGACCGTGGATAACTCACCCTACAACACTGTGCTGCCGAGAAAATCAAAAACAGAACTGCGCATGCGTGAAAGTAAAAATATAAATGACAATTTACCCCTCGCACCCTGTATAAGTCTGTTAATTGATTCCATTCTTTTTCCAATCAATCAAAGAGTTTTTTTTTCCATTTTTCATTTTATTATTTTTCAGTCAAGTTCTTCTCATGCTAAATGTGGAGGTGGCTTCAAACTTTTGAACTGCATGTGTACGCATACATACATACATATATATATATATATATATATATTCATTTATACATGCCATGTCTGATTAAACAATTTAGAAATGTTTTTCTATGTTATTTTCAATAATATTCGTGAAGGTGTAACCCTCTCTATATTATCTGTTCTTTCCCTACTTTGTTTCCGCTAGAGTGGATATCATTTCACCAACTGCTGGCTTCATTTTTTATCTACAATTCTCTTTATATATTCCGGACAACAATATGCTGTGTCTTGTCATCACATTTAAAACGTTATTTCGCTCACATATATCTCTCAACACGACACACACACAAACACACATACACACACACACAGACACACATATATATACAGGCAGTACATCTTCATTCAATCATTTTCATTAATCAATATATATATATATATATATATATATATATATATATATATATATATATATATGTCTATTTTTGTAATGATATTTTCTGATTATGTTCTTGATGGTAAGTTGAAATTTAGCAAGCCAGACGCCGTAAGTTTTATTACCCAAGTACTTTTGACCGCCTCCGAGTTCATCCTCTTAATATATATGCGTATATATTATATGATATAATTATATTATGCCTATGTACTATTTGATATATTTATTTATTTAGTTAGTTATTTATTATTATTTATATTTAATATATAATATGCCTATATTATGCCTATATTTAATTTAATATGCCTATATTATTTAATATGCATGTATTATTTAAATGCCTATATTATTTATTGTATCCATGCTTTAATATATATCTGTATGTTTGTGTGTGCGCGTATGTCAGCGTGTGCGTGTGCTCGCACGTGTTTGTGTATCTGTATGTATGTACGTCCTTTGTGCGTCTTTGTTAAATTTATGAGTGCAATGGGAAAAGTCTAGAGATAGTTAAAAAAATATATTTGGCATATTTGGCATATATATGAGATGATGACAAACTTGGCAGAAATAACTAGACAGACCCACCCAAACATACAAAGTTTTGAACAGTTTTACTTTATCATAAAAACGAACCTCAGAATGAGATAGGAGAAACCAAAATGTATTTAAGAGACCAAAATGGCAGCAACTGTCAGAAAAAAAAACAAAAAAAAAACCTTAAAAATAATAACGGTCAAATAATAAAACAGTGTATCATTACAGTGTGGCAATGGACAGAATGACAAAATGTAGCGAGAAAGTTATTTCCTTCAGACAAGATGAGACCTTCTTGAATAAAAATAGATACAGGTGTAGCTTAATAACAACTTTTTCTTTTTTTTTTCTATATTTTACCATATTTTGTCTTTGTTCTTTTACTTTTCATATGCGTGCGGCTATTTTAAAAAGCAGCCATTTTGTCGTTGTCCCCAGAGTCGCCATCTTAATTTTACTTTCTGAACCTCTTAGTTTTGCTCAGAGTGAAGAAACCTCATAAGCTTTGATCGGCTGGTGATGTCCACAATGAATCGAAGTGCAAAAAGAGACTGGGTAAAATTGTTGGCGTATTAGGTAAGTCATAAATATATATTATTTACAATACTCGGACTATCGTCCTCATCTTTGTCGCCTTATTTATCACAACGTTTCGGCTGTTGTACGCTCCGGCCTTCTTCAGGTGGTTGGAATGTCGAACTGAACCCTTTATTTCCTCAAAGACACATGGCACAGTGGATAAATGCGTTATTGGATCCAGTGACAGGACCCAAAGTGTGTGAGATCAATACCCGGTTAAGGCAGTGGAGAACTTTCAGAGGGAAAATTAACAGGAGATAACAAATAGCTGACATCCATCAAACATGGCATGTGGAACTAGAACAGTCTACCCCAGTGAGCGAAATAAAGGGTTCAGTTCGACATTCCAACCACCTGAAGAAGGCCGGAGCGTACAACGGCCGAAACGTTGTGATAAATATGGCGACAAAGATGAGGACAATAGTCCGAAT